ATCGTTTCTGTCCAGTCTGCTCGTTTTATCGTGTTTAACCACAGCTGTCGTCGGTTTTTTGTCTGGCAGTGGCAGCAGATATGCGATCAAATATCTAATTTGAGGCTGTTTTACGTTGATTCTGGCACCCAACATCACAACAAGATGATATTTTAAGCTCCTTATGTAGCCGAATCTGCGCTGGTTTGAATGGGCCGCCTCCAGTTTACCCTTTGTTTTGCTGCGGCTGCTGCCTCCAGCTAGCACTGTGACGTCGGCTGACCCTAGTTACCTGTGGTTGGCCTGGCCGTGCGTCGCTCAGTAAACAACAGGCCAATCAGAAGAGAGGCTCATGCATATTAATTAGACAGGCCAAAATCGACCTGTTCTCAGCACAGCTCCTGAGTGAGGAGCTGTAAAAATATATTGAGATTGTTTTTGGTACTTATACCACAAATATATATTCTTAAGGACATCAAAACCTAAAATAAAACTCCAGAAATGTGTAAAATATGTGACCTTTAAACATCGATGCTTGCTTGACCTGCAAGTTCTTGAATGTTAAGCAAGCAGCAATTGACCATATTAGTTCTTGTATTCTACTCTGTTTTCTGCCAAAAAGGGGATTTGTTTACATATTTCCATCACTGCTGACACATCTGCTTCTGTGTGGTAGACTACTGACCTAAATAATTTGAATAGCGTCCAAAATTCTCTACCTAGACAGTCTGTCAGTTCTTAGGAAGCACACCGGCCCAGCATTGTTTTGTGCCATTTCTAAACAGCAGCAAGTCAAATCAGGATATTTTTTGGACTGATAAGGAGCCCAGAATTTTCTTCCTAACAGAGATCTTTTAACTACTATGTTTATCAGTCCAAGAACATGTTGGAGCAATTGAGAAACAAAAGCAATCATCATGTAACCCCCCACACATACACTGAGGTATGAAAGAATGACTGAACACACGCTAAATGAGCTCATCGCTGTATCCTTCAAGCGGTATTGGGTAAGTGGCATGTGTCAAAAGCGCCACATGTGTAAAGCACCCAGGTTCATACTGCAAATCCCACTAACCCAGATTCGTTCATAAATTAGAGTGCTGCTCAGCCTTGCATGAAGGCTGCAGTGACATCCAGACATGAGCGAAATGATGAAAGTCCTCTGATGCCATGCATAAAATGAGCTGTATAGCAAGTGTTGACAACAAACGCTGTGAAATACAGAGAACACTAAATTCTTAAAATGGATGTTTTTCGATGTCCCTCATGTTACTGTTATGTATTTATCATTGATTTATTATTCTTCAGTATCTAGTCAATAACATCAACGTACCCCGTCTCAAGTAAATATGCCTTTTCCTTCAGAAGTGTCACATCACAGAAGTAAATACATTGTGAAATGTGAATCATGTTGACATTAAAGTAATATTTTCTCCGAACTTTGTATGACAGGGATTATGGAAAGTATGGAAAGTAATGGCATCATCAGATGTCAAAATCATTTTCCACGACATGTTTTACTTTTATTGTACAGTTATTATATACACTACTGTTCAAAAGTTCTTTAACTCAACTTTTTAAAAGAAATTAAGATGTTTAATCAGCAAGGAAGCATTAAATGGATTAAAAGTGACAAAGACATTTACGGTGTTATAAAAGATTTGTTTTAAAATAAATGCTGTTCTTTTGAACTTTATATTCATCACATCAAAGATTCCTGAAAAAATGTAATAGTTTCCGGAAACAAGCAGCATAACAGTTTTTTTTTAATAATTATATTTTTATTTTTTAAATATTTATAATAATAATAATAATAATAAACAAAATTTATGTTAGAATGATTTCTGAACGATCATGTGGCACTGAAAACTGGAGTAATCACAGCAATAAATTACATTTGAAAATATATTAAATTTGAAAACAGTTCTTTTAAATTGTAATAGTATTTCACAATAATACAATTTCACTGTATTGTTAATCAAATAAATGCAGTCTTCTTTAAGAGACTTCTTTCAGAAACAAAAAAATTTGCTTTCTGCCTAAACTAGTTAAAACGCATGGTAGGGACACAGCATCCTGTGACGCGACCAGTCATGCTAGATGAGTAAACAGAATGGTTGCCGTAATGACTGACTTATGATTAAATACCGTACACATCTGCAAGTCTACCAGTTTCTTAAACATTCCTGCATCTGTGACATACTGTCATTTACCCACAGAAAATCATTTCCACTCATGCCTCATTTTGTAAAAACATATGCACTATTTTGGTAATATATCCAATAAACTGGAGATAGAGAAACATGATACACATAAGGATACAAAAAATGCAATGTACTGCTTTTATGAAGCAAACTCCACCCACAGTAATTACATTGGTATTGCATAATTAGAAGTTCATCCACCTACAGCAGTAGTCCCACCACTAAAGGACTGTTTAGACCACATCTCAAATAACACACATTTTTGCATGGCAGAATGAATAGTAATACTTCAAATTGTTTGAGCGACAGAGAACCCTCCAGAATGCCTTGCCCCATAGACCTCCATTGTAAGTCTGTTGTCACACAATTTTTATTTGTTTGAACAAACTCCGAGGCAGTTCTTTCTTAACTGACAATGTACCACAAGCTATGTTGGTGAAGCTTTGTTGTGTTGAACCTGGAATATACCTTTCATAATCTACTACCGAATCTTTTTCTATCCTCAGGTTGTCCCTACAAGCAGACGACTCCCACCCCCTGCAGCAACGCCTCAGACAAGTCCAGCTCCAAAGCCTCTGAGGTGGGTGATGAGGTGGCTGGGGACTTTGTGGTTGGTGAACGTGTATGGGTGAACGGAGTCAAACCAGGAGTCATCGCCTATCTTGGAGAGACCCAGTTTTCCCCGGGACAATGGGCTGGAGTGGTGCTGAATGACCTGGTTGGAAAAAATGACGGCTCCGTCAATGGGGTGCGTTACTTTGAGTGCCAGGCTTTGCAGGGCATCTTCACCAGGCCTTCCAAGCTCATGCGGCAACCCATCGGAGACGGGAGCGACGAGCAGCAGCAGAACGCACAGCTGCAGGGAGGTGCGGGAGCATCCGGCCAGCGTGTGGTCATGCCGCTCAGAGAAGGCATGCTCAACAGCTCCGTCAAAACCGGCAACGAGTCAGGATCCAATATGTCTGACAGTGGATCTGTGAAGAAAGGGGGAGAAAAGGACCTTAAGGTCGGAGATCGAGTGCTGGTGAGTGTTGAAATTTTAAAACTCCATACTGAAAATTAAAAACAAAAGCAGTTACCACAGACTGTTGTAATCATTGTGGTTACATTGTTTCCATTTCTTATGCCTCGGAAACTGACTCTGGCTCGAACATATACATCTTTATCTGAGTGCTTGCCATCTTGAGTATCAAAACACATGACATGCTGTAAAGGACGCTGTGGATACAGTGCGTTGAAGTTAACTAATCACAGCAGTGTGTGTTTACGTAAGTTAATGCAAGTGGTAATGCCCCTTTCGCATCTCAGTTCTTCACAGAGAGTGAAAATGAGGATGGAAAATAATAATTTTTACATATATTGGACCTTTTTTGGTGCAAAAAAACGTTATAAACTGACCTGGAGAAACATACTATAAAAATCTAAAACTGCATTTCAGGACTTTGAATGTGAGTTTGGCAAGCAGTTTTGAGATTTCAGTATTTACCTATTTAAAGGTCCCATATTGTCAAAACTGAAATCTCATGGCTTTTTTCATGATAACTGAGGTCTAGGTGCTATGTAACTACCATATACGTTTCAAAGCAGTCAATCCACAGTCAAATGCACACAGCCTGCATAAAGTAGCTGTGATTTTTCACGAACCGTTGTGAATTCCGTAAAAAGGTGAGGTCAGAACTACTCAGTCACCATCCCGAGCACTGCCCACAGTCCCACTCTCCTTTTGCCAAACCCCCAGACAACATCGACAACCATTGCTGAGCAACAACAACACGGAAACATGTCTAAAAAATGCTGTTCAGTCTGGATTGCACAGTAGGGCTGTGACGGTCGCCGTGACAACCGCGTCAACCGTAGTGCACGTGACGTCACACACTCTATAACAAGCATAATACAAAGTTTTGTATACAAGTGTAATAATAGTAACAGCTGCAAATTGTTTTATTTAGACTATAAGTCTATGCTAATTCACAAATTACCTCAAACGCCATACACGGCGTTTGATCCTTTAGATTGGCAGTTTTGACCGCAGGAA